ATACTGATTTCCACAGTGGTTGCACCAGTCTACACTCCCACCAGCAGTGGAGCAGGGTTCCTCTTTCCCCACAGCCCCGCCAGCATTTGTTACTGATTTATTTCATGATAGCAGCCATTCTTTCTGGAGTGAGGTGGAATCTAAGAGTTGTTTTCATTTGCATCTCTCAAATGACCAGTGATGTTGAACATTTTTTCATGTGTATATTTGCTATTTCTACTTCTTTGTCTGAGAAAAGTCTGTTCATTTCAGATACCCATTTTTGGATTGGGTCTTTAAATTTGGGAGGTCTGATCTTTTTAAGTACTTTATAGATTTGAGGTAGTAGACCTTTGTCTGAGGAAGAGCAGGTGAAGACTTTTTCCCACATTGTGGGTTGTCTCTTCACACTGCTGGTGTTTTCTCTTGCAGTGCAGAAGCTTTTTAATAAGAAGAGATCCCACTTGTTGATTGTTTATGCTAGTTCACAGGCAACTGAGGTTTTGCTAATAAAATCTTTTCCTACACCAGTGTCTTCAAGAGTTCTACCTAACCTCTGTTCCAGGAGATTTAGCATTTCTAATATTTAGATCCTTAATCCATTTTGATTTTACTTTAGTGCATGGTGAGAGATATAGGTCTAGTTTTAAACTTTGGCAAGTTGAAACCCAATTTTTCTAGCACCATTTATTAAAGAGACTATCTTTCCTCCAGTGAGGGTGTTTCACTCCTTTGTCAAAGATGAAGTGGCTGAATGTGTCTGGGGATGTTTCTGCATCTTCTAATCTGTTCCAGTGGTCCTCACGTCTGTTTCTTTGCCAGTACCATGCTATTTTTTAAATCACAGTAGCACTGTAGTATAGTTTCAAGTTGGAGGTTGTGATACCCCCTGCCATGTCTCTGTTGCCTAGAATTACTTTTGCTATTCTGAGTCTCTTGTTTTTCCAAATGAATTTTTGAATTGTTTTCCCAAGGTACGTGAAGTATGCTGCTGGGATTTCAATTGGGATTGCATTGCATCTATATAGCAATTTTGGAAGTATGGCCATTTTCACTATGTTGATTCTTCCAATCCAGGAGCAGGGGATATCTTTCCATTTTCTGATATCCTCTTGAATCTCTCTTTTCAGAGTGGTATAGTTTTCAGAGAAGAGGTCTTTGATTTCTTTCGTTAGGTTGATTCCTAGGTATTTCAGGGTTTTTTTGGATGCTATTGTGAAAGCAATTGTTTGCCCTATTTCTGTCTCAGTGAGTCTATTGTTTATGTAGAGGAAAGCGATTGATTTTTGTGTGTTGAGCTTGTATCCAGCTACTCTACTGAATTTGCTTAGGTCTAGAAGACTTTTGGTGGAGTTCTTGGGGTCTTCTATATAGAATATCATGTCATCTGCAAATAATGACAGTTTGACTTCTTCATTTCCTATCTTTATT